TTTAAATAAAGATGGGGTTTCACCATGATGGCCAGGATGGTCTTGATCTCCTGACCTCAGGTGATCCACCCACCTCGGCCTCCCAAAGTGCTAGGATTACAGGCGTGAGCCATAGCGCCCGGCCCTGAAATAATTCTTTAGATTTTAGATAAACTTATTTTGATAACACAAAGTGATTTTTCACAAATTCTAAGCTTTATTTGGCTGGGACTATAGTATACTTTTTCCTTAAATGAATCATGCAAATTACAGAATTATACTATGAAGCAGTAATTTACTTAGCACCTATTATTAATTATGAGCTAAAAAATGAGAAAATGATTGTGGGTATATGCAGGAGGAAATTATTTGCATAAATCACATCTTGTGGGGGAAAATGAGAATTTAGTTCATAGTAGTACCTCATTTAAGTGGGTTGGCTTTGCAAACAGTGTTAGTTGCTTTTATTCTGTTTGTCAAAAAGATAAAGATAAATGTATATATTCTGCTCTTCCAAAGGAAAAGAAAAAAAAGAACAAATCTTGTGGACAATAATTGTTGAATGACAGCCACACATAGATAACTAAAGAGAAAGCTGTAACTAAATATGCTGACAATGAAGACATAGGTGGACTGAAAGACCGATCACTAAAGAAATCAGATCTACAAGAAATTTTATTAGGTGGGGATAAATCATTTTTAAAATGTGAGCATGAAGGGGAAAACAGCAAACAAGCCTAGTCAATTTAATCTCATCTTCAGCCAAGAAAAACAAGAAACATGACATGCAGTAGTATACGAAGAAATAGATATGTAACAGAGCCTTTTGTTCCTTTATAGCCCTAACAATACAGGTTAATACTTATGCTACAATTCATTTTTAAAAAATATTTATGTGATACAGAGTTTAATTTTATTACTATAAAACATTCAATTAGCTAACCAATGTCATGTATCACTACCTGAAAGACCGTTATTACTACAGAGAGGGAAAATTAGAATTTTCCATCAACTTTCCACCTACAGAAAGAATTGGTCACCAGAATTCTAAAGAGTAATGCATGGCTTATAAAGGCATATTTATTAGAAGCCTGAGTTGGAGCTAATAAAATGTTTAAAAAATTTTAGTCTAAAATCACAATCTAAGATTCCAGTTGAATTATACTAGAAAATATATTCTAACCGTCTTTGCTATTAATGACCTATTTCTAATTTATTTCCTTTTATTTATGGCATAATTTCTCAGAATAACACATCAAAACTTATACATCCTTAAACATTAAAAAAAAATAGAAATGTGAGCAATATTTTTAACTGCAGTATTTAATCAGTACATTATGTGTACTACTTATAACATTCCATTATATAAAATTTTATTCTTCTGTTTATTCAGATTAAACAACTATTAAGGCTGAATGTGGCAACTCATGCCTGTAACCCCAGCACTTTTAGAGGCTGAGGCGGGCATATCATGTGAGTCCAACAGTTAAAGATCAGCCTGGGCCACAAGGCAAAACCGCATCTCTACAAAAAATAGAAAACTCAGCCAAGCATGGTGACAAAGGCCTACAGTGCCAGCTACTTGGATGGCTGAGGTGGGAGGATCACCTGAGCCCAAGAAGTGAACACTGCAGTGAGCCAAGATCCCACCATTGCACTCCAGCCTGGATGACAGAGTCAAACTCCATCTCGAAAAAGCAACAATTACAATGCTTCCTACATGGAAGACTGTATGCCAGGTACTCCAGGATACACACAAATATGTCTATAACCTCCAGTATCTTGTAGTATGCTGCTACCACCTTCAAATTTTTAAACAACTAAATATAAAAATTTCTGAAATTTTACATTTCTGAATGTAATATAAAGACTTTGAGTGGATGTTTTAAATCAACTACAATGACAAAATTATGGTGTTAAAGTTTTACCATATTGGTATTAAGAGTCTGTTTATGTAACTGATAATTTGCAGTAAAATATATGTTATTCATTAGACGAAGTATTTTACATATACAATTTATGGACAACTTACAATACACACAAAAATCCATTTGTAATACAAATTTTGATAACATAAATTTAAATTTCTACAATTTATATTTTTAAAGCAGATACAATCTGGTCATGTTGCCCAGGCTGTTCTCAAACTCCTGGGCCCAAGCAATCCTCCTGCCTCAAACCCCCAAGTAGCTGGTACTACAGGTGTACACCACCCTAACCAATTAGTTTTCTATAAATTTTATTTTAGTCTCACTATAGAACTAATAATATAAGTAGACAAACAAATCTCTCCTCAAAACTACATGATACAAAAATACTAAGTGTCCAAAAAAAGCTATTTGCTATGTGCTGTATAGTTTTGTAAATAAAAGGTACCAGGAAGATTCCCTGATAACTACAAGTAATTTGATTCATGGAAGAATTATACAGGCATAAATATTATGAAAGTAACACTAGTATGATTTAAAAGCCAATATTAATATTTATCCAAATAAACCTTAACCAAATTTTATGTTTCCTTTCTTAGGGAAAGCATTTTCTAATTTGATTTTCCTGTCACTATGTATTTTCCAGTTCATTGTCTTTCAGCCGCCACCCCGTCACAGTACTTAATTATCTTTTGTTAGTTATTAAGGTTAAACAATTTTTTTTTAATCAACTAGCCATGTCCATGCTTTTCTCTGACCAACTTTTTATTCCAACATAGAAAAAAATAAACCACTGCTAAATTTTAAAAGTTAATAATATGCAAAACTTGACTGAGAAAATTAATTTTACAAGAGGCCACTTTAACTTGGTGGTAACAGTCAAACTGTCATCTTCTCGCTTAGGGCATGAATTAACACACAGTTCATGGAAAATGCTTTAGAGCAAAAATACACAATGAATATGAGCAAGCTGTTCCTTACAAATTTTTTAACTGCCAGTTCATATTCAGCTTCTCCCTCCAAAAAACAAATTCACAATCTGGGAAAAGGTCAGCTATCTGTGCATTAAATAATGTTTCTTGATATAATTATCTGTTTTAGAAATAGACTTCAGTTTTTTAAGTCTCTATGTACAATAGTCAATGAAAACTGACCTTCAGCTGCATGTAACAAATAGTGACAGCCAATATATACCAGAGCCTGATGATAATTTTCCCTGACAAATTATCTATTCTGAAGTTGTACTCAAAATTCAACTAATAAATGACATAACTTTTGTTACCTAAACTGGAAGAAACCTGATGACCTAAAACAAGGTAGAAACATCCACTGTTTCTTTTCCATTATCTATCTCTGGTTCAAAGACGAATCTGTCACTTCAAATTGGTAGTCTTGATTCCTCAGCATAGAAGCCACTTAAAATCCCATTGCTTTCTTTTGTCCCAAAACAGTGCAGGGAATCACCTGCAATATTTGAAATGTGTGAATGTTAAGTACACAGAAATCTAATAACAAAGGTATATGTTCTCTTTGAGAATACTCTTCCCAGAAAGATTAATACATTAACAATAATAAAAATTCAATTTTACTCTATACGTCCTACATTTTTCAGGTCCACATTAACTAGGAAGCCCTTAAATCCTTCACAGGTAGGGCCGGGCACAGTGGCTCACACCTAAAATTCCAGCTCTTTGGGAGGCCAAAGTGAACAGATCACATGAGGTCAGGAGCTCAATACCAGCCTGGCCAACATGGTGAAACCCTGTCTTCACTAACAATGCAAACCTTAGCCAGGAGTGGTGGCAAACACCTGTAATTCGAGCTACTAGGGACGCTAAGGCAGAAGAATCGCTTGAACCCTGGAGGTGGAGGTTGTGGTGAGCTGAGATCATGCCACTGTACTCCAGCCTGGGTGACGGAGCAAGACTCCCTCTTAAAAAAAAAAAAATCTTCATTAAAAAAAAAAAAATCTTCATAGGCACTGAGATATCAAAGGAGAGAGACTGCTGGAAAAGCAGAGTCCTGGTAGTCATACGCTATTTCCCTAAGTACTATCTAAACATCTTTCTTCCTATTGGCTTCCAGATTCCACTTCTGCAGGGCTCCATGGCAGTCTCCAATCTTCAATCTATGAAAGCACAGATTCCTGAAAGGATGGCCTCAAATGACCAGGAGTGACTCTCTACATCCCTGCTCCTGAATGACAACCTAACTGGAGTCTCCATGAAGTGCCCCATCATAGACACACCTTCAATTACCCAACTGAACTTCATGACCGATTGGCCAGTCAACCATGTCCCTGACCCAACCTACATGAACACTGGAAGGTCATCAAAAGCAGAGGTGAGGAGGTACCTCCCCTGGGCTACAGATCTATATAGTTCAGCAATCTCTGCCCCTAGTACTCAAGAAGCTATAAGCCACCCTTCTGTAAGTCAGAATGGAAGCACGTGATACCACATTTCTATCTGCTGTAGAGACCCTTCCCAGTGTCTCAAAATGTTTTAGCATCTGTCAGTAAAATTGTTCAAGTTTTTCAGTTATTGATAAAAAAAAAAAAAAGCACCTGTTTAAAGCTCCCTTGAACTCTATTTTAATGTCTTTGTAAATTCCCAACATCTTGTGTTCATCTTTGTAATTTATCTTTATTAAACTTGTCAAACTCCAATATTCTGATTTCTTACTGAAGAATCTGTATTCCTATCCAATCCAGTGTTGTTTCACTTCAAACTTGACCTTCCCCCTGCTCATTCCATTCTTCCCACTTCCATTGGGTTTATCAGTTAATTTCATTCTCATTCTATCCACTGGGTGCACCAGACTCACTGCCCATTTGTATCATCCTCCTCCTCATCATCATTATTATCTGAGACAGAGTCTCGCTCTGTCACCAGGCTAGAGTGCAATGGTGCGATCTCGGCTCACTGCAACCTCCGCCTCCCTTCTTCAAGCAAGTCTCCTGCCTCAGCCTCCCATGTAGCTGGAACTGCAGGTACCCGCCACCATGCCAAGCTAATTTGTTTTGTATTTTTAGTAGACTGATTTT